TATTTTTCCGGTTTTGGTATATATTTTCAGGTTTTTATAATTTTTAGGTTTTAATTTCACATTTATTTAATTCTTATTTTATATATTTTGAAATTTATGGGTATTGAATTTCACTTTTTGGGCTCTTTGTGTAAAAATAGGTTCTAAATTTCTTACTTTTTGGTCTTTACAGATCAATCAAATTTTCCGCGGCATAATGCGGGAAAATTCTTGAAATGATTTTATATTTTATTTTATAAACATTTTTTTGTGTTTCTCTCTCTGTATATATTTGGTGCTGTCGATTGCAATAAAAAAAGAGGTGCACAACTAGATGTCATAGCAATCCCATATACAAAATTTCAACGTTCTACGGCTACCGTTTTTGAGCTATGCGAGATATATGCATACACACAGACGTCACGAAAAATTCCCTTTAAAATCCATTTTACAGTTCGTTTTGTTAAAAGAAGTCCTTTATTCTGTTCGTACGTACAACAGTCAAGCAAAAATTTAAAAAAAAAAAAAAAAAAAAAAAAAATCGTCCAGAAGTATTCGGGAACGGCCAAAATGGATATTTCCTTTAAAATATGATGACCCTAGATTTTTCGAAATTACAATACTTCTTCACTTTGTACAAGGAAGTAAAAAGTATCGCGTCATTATGTCGAAAATTCGAAAAGATAATTTAAAGCAAATCTGCTTGTCTAGGCCACTCTTTATCAATTATAGAACAAAATACGATTTCTTTTAATCGAAATAATAGCAGCAACTACAAAACGTAAGTGTTATGGCGGTTAACGTTTTCGTGCTTGTAATAAGTGCTATTAGCTTTTTAATTTATCACAGTGAAACCTTTAGCTACGAATACCACCACGAATTCTACTGGTAGGTACAGAACGTTTTGATTTTGACTTATTAAAGTATAATCACACTTTACTTAACAGACTTTTTGCTCTACGGGCATCATATAAAAAATAAAATTCTGTGTTTACTAAACACTTTTGCCAGCACTGCCGCGATTGTTCTGTTATAAAGCTCTCTAACTTATATTAAAAACACTATGTAAACGATAATCTATGTTTATGATCGGCATTTAAGTATATTTGTGTTTTCGGAAAAAAAAAAAAAAAAAAAAAAAAAACTATGTGTTTATTCCATAGTAGTTCAAATGAGTGCAAAACCTTTTTTTGCCCTCCTTTTACCATTGTCCCCTCTCCTTTCCAAAACTCGAAAAATACATATACATTTATTTAAATTTAGATTAACTTTAAAGGTAAATTAAATAAGAAAAAGTACAAAAACTTGTTGTTTACGTTCCGAAGTTGGAATGGCGCCGAAATCGAAAGAGTAGTTTCAATTCGAAATAACTTTAATAAATTCCGCTACTCTCAGTTTAAACCAAACTACAAACACATTATGTGAAATATCCATACGTGTTTCCATCTCATGAGGAGTTGCCAAAAGGCACATGACTTTAAAAATTCTGAAGGGGATTGCCAACGCAGGGCAGCGAAAAGGTGTAAATTAATTCGAAATGCATGGAAACACTGACTTATAAATACCGAAACTTGAATATAATAAAAATAAATATATAAAAATTGTTTTGAAAGCTTTCAGATTTTACATACAGCATATTACAGAATATCTTTCTTAAAACAGTTTAAGTAAGCAAGACGCGGAATTTAATTTTCATAAGTGAATCTTATTATTATGGTTAGGATAATTTCACTCTAAAAATTCGGCGTCAACTCGAATTTGTTAAAAATGTGCTTAAACCGTTCCTTAACGTAAACTTCTGTTTCCCAATAAATTTCGTTAAATTAATTCTTAAATTTTTATTTTATTTTTTCCCAAAAAGTTTAAAAATTAACACAAATACACACATAAAAAAAAAAAAAAAAAAAAAAAAAAAGTAAGAAAGACCAAATTAGTGTATCAGTGTGGCAATTTGCTTGTTTCTTCGACACTAGATGGCACTGCAAGCGTATAATTTGTTCTTAAACGGGGTGTTTTGAATTGAGGATTGTTTACTACATCACTGACGAATTTCGAAAATTTTAAAGTATGCTTTTTCGCTTTATTATGAATTTATTGCTGCATAATAGTTAATTTGAATTCATATTCAAAATATCCATAATTAACATCAAAGTAATTCTTGATACAGCATTTTAATGCAGTGTTGTGTTATAAATGTTCAAGATTTCATTTCCAAAAAAGCTATAATAATGTAATTTATTTAAATGATTAATTGTTTTACATCAAAGCTTACGTAAAAGCACAATTAAAGCAACCTCATTAAAACGTGAAACAAATTAATAAATCAGATTACTCTGAAATTAATTTAACCAGCTGTGTCAAAAGCATAAAGCAAGATTACTTAAGTATTCTCAAAATCATCCGTAAAAAAATATAATAAAAACGATCTTAAGTTTTTCAGATTTTATATTACGCACAGAGGGGCCTTTTTTTTAATGTTTTGTGTGTTATCTTTATTAATTATATATCATGCTCTTCGCACTTAAACCATAAGATTCAGTTCAATAGCAATATCACAAAATAATTTAAAAAGAGCATACCTTTAGAATTTCGATACACAGTCTCGCGCCCAGGAGATAATTTTTTTTTTGGGGGGGGTGTACAGTGGTGCCGCTGCTCGCTTTGAAATCGTTGAGTTTCTTAATCAGAAACATATAAATACTTTATAAACTATGACATGATAATAAAACAAATTCCAAATTTGGGCTACCAGATGTCAGTATTCGGGTGGAGACGTACGTTATTGAAAACTGGATGACTCTAGGTACCGTTGTTTTATTACAATGGGAGAAAGATACATACATTTATGCAGATTCTTCATTATTTAATTTCTTCAAATATAATACAGGGCGATAATATTTGGTGGCAAGAATTTGAAGAGGGAATTAAAAGTTTTCAACGCAAAATGCCAAAACGAAATCAATAGCCCTTCTGGGCTAATAAAAACTGATAATCAAATTCGAAATTAAATCCTAAATAGCAATAATTTCTAAAAAGAAATATTGTCTGTTATGACAAGTAACTTGCTGTTTTTATGCTAATAGCCGAAAATCGTCAGTCTGCGAATAGTTGTGCTATCTGCAGTTTATTTTAAGCAAAAGTAATAAATATTAGTTTTATTTTTACGAAAGTTTGTAAAAAAATTTTCTTTTTCATTTTACAAAGAACTTCGCGAGTACTACTAAACTTCTCTTTTCTAAACAGTAACAAATAACAAATTTATGGATTATGAGAAATAATAGTAATTTTAGTTGTCTAATTTAATTAGGCTAATTACATTCCATTAAATAATTACTGCACAAATAGCGAAAAACTAAATATGCAGGACACGTTGAGGATGTAAAACGAACGCCCCTATAAAAACTCACTCCATATCTTAAATGCCATAACAATCACGCAACATGTAAAAACAAATATTTCGACTCCTATTATTTAATAAAATCTACGGTAACGGTTTGCCAAGCAATTCATCAGAAAAATATCAGATAACAGCGCCTGAGTTATAGGAGATGTCACGTGTGGGAATTACGCAATACACACGTGATGGGAAGCTTCAACGCTGGAAAACGAACACGTGACTGAAGCGGATACTCTTCTCGCCAAGTTCGAGAAAATAATTGATTCTAATGCCAAGCTGTAAGGGTTGCAGCTACTTTCCGAAACGAAGTCTGCGTACCGTAGAAGCAGGAGATTCTTTGGTAGAAGTTACCTTCGTGTTCATCTGACTTTCGTAGTTTGCCGAATATCAGATTCATTATTAAAGTTATATGTTAATATTTAATTTAATGGCATTTGATTATTAAAAGAATGTTTTAACTGTAAAATAGTATACACAATTGTTAATGCTTTATTAGAAATGTTGATATCGACGAAAGAAAAGAGTTTGAGACTATAGAATTATTTTTTAGTTTTTAGAATTTAAGCTGCGAAATAAATAAAAGGAGTTGCGCATAATAAATTCCGTTGCATAAATGAAATTTTCTTTGCACTCTTTTTATTTCCAATGTTGTCATTTTTTAGGCTTAATTTTTATATTATCATATATATATACATATAAGCATGCGTCATATTGCAGAACTGATACAAAGACTATAGGATTATACCAGTTGCTAAAAATCAGACTAGTTATCGTATTTGTAAAAATCGTTTTTAGTGTTTTATAAAAAAGCACTTGCTTCCAAAATTCTAATACTATCGTAAATAAATATTAAAATTACAGCCACACAAAACTAAATTGCTCCCGCAACTATAAAAAAAGATACCAAAATAAAATTAAAAAAAATATATTATTTTAAAATATATTTTGCTGCTGCTATAAAAAAATTATTATACATATCATTATCAGACCCTTTTTTATTTTATATTATACGGTACTCTTCAATTTTGTTTTAAATTCGTTTGTACTTATTTAAAATTCGTTAAATAAATAAACTACAATGAAAATCAAAATCTTGATAGATTACGCTTACATATTCTAATTATGCTGTTCCACAGCCAGTTTATTTGATTCTTTTAAATATATTAGATACAGAAATTTTCTGTACCGTTTTCAAGATTAAGCTCATTGTCTCTTCTCTCTCGACGAAAGCAAGCTGTGCAATGACGAAGCAAAATCTCAGAGCAAGAGTGTTACGTCATCGGAGGTAAATCCCTCATTGTCCAATCAAAAGCTTAGGAAATGACGTCTTGACCTATATTTAGCTTCAGAGATACGTAGAAAACCGAATCACTTTCACTCAAAGAGTGCACAACTCCTGCTATTTTAAATAAGAGTTAGCATTTAATTAAATTTTTTAAACAATTATTAATATAAAGAAAATTATATGAAAAAAAAGTTATCACTAATATTTCGAGATAAAACTAATGCGCTTGAAAATTTCGGAGCCAACGAGCGCGTAGTTTAGTAGAACCTGTTGATTCTTCTCGTAGCGGAAGCAGATGGCGTTGTGCACATGCGCCAGAGAAGGAGAAAGTGAGGTGGATTGATAGCTGACGTTTATTGTGGAGCCGCTTTCTTCTCGCCTCATACGTAAGCTAGTCCTTGAAGTATAAGGTACTATTTCGTCGCTGTTAGTGCGTGCACGGGAGTTGGATCTCGGTGGTACCACTATTTCTCCTCGAGCGGCCGGTTTGCTGCCGCTTCGTGTGCGCGTTTCTTATCGCAGTGTGCAATCAGTGAAAATTAAACAGCGCTGTATCAGAGAAGCGTAGTTTCTACTGGAGTGAAAATTTTGTGATTTACCTGCACAAGAGTGTGTACGTTCCCGTACTAAAGGGACGTGCAATTTAAGTGCTACACGACGGCTACTCCACAAAGCTGGTTTGACTTAGATAGGCGTAATTTGTCACCATGCTACGCGCAGAGCATGAGTTCTCCGCATATGTATGATCCGGCCTTTCCTACGGTGGACGATTTGAAAGCCAAATTAAATCTTGGTGTTAAAAACAACTCGCTGACCACGAAGGGGCTTCTGGATTTGGGAGAAGGTTCCGTGGCGGACTTATCGGACCTCAATTCGCCGGAGCTCTCGTTTGATCTCCAGAACATAATAGGGCCTGACAGCGGCCATCCGGGCGCTACTCTTGACGAGTCGTCCAACTTCTTCTCCGACATTTTGGGAGAACATCACCAACAACAACAGCAGCAGCAAGGACAAAAGAGAATCCATTTTAACGGTTCTAATCAAAATATTTTACAGCAGCACGGTCAGCTGACCGGTGGTGGTCATCCTTTTGCGCGGTATCCCATGCCCCAGCAAGCTACGCTTGGTACAGATCAATACGGTGCCGAAGCAGGCCTCTCCATAAAACGTGAGCCGATAGATCATATCGACTTAAGTAGCTGTAGTCAAAGATCGTACACTAACGGCTCCAGCATTTATTCCTATCCTCCCATTACGGATCGCCAGGGTGCAGGGGCGGCCCTCAATGCCCAAGTACTGGGCACGTACCTCCCCAACCTTGGACGGCCCAGCGGTCACCTGTCTACTGCTACCACTCCATCACCTGTGCACAATGGATCTTTGAAGTCCCTGTCATCCTCATCCTCATCCTCATCTTCTTCTAAGCACAAAAACAAGAAGAACGTGGATAAGTCATCGGACGAATATCGTCGACGAAGAGAAAGAAACAATATTGCTGTGCGGAAGTCGCGGGAAAAAGCGAAGTTACGTTCAAGAGAAACTGAGCGCAAAGTTTCGGAATTGGTAAGAGAAAACGATTTTTTGCGCAAGCGCGTCGAACTGCTGACCAAAGAATTAAATGTTCTGAAATCTCTTCTAGCCAATGTGGGAGGGGTGTCTCCCAACAGCGTGGACAACGAACTGGCAAAAACTTTGCATATGGATACTTCTTTCCATGGTATGCAGGACTTGTAACTCGGCAGTAAACGTCGGATTGCCGCCCCGCACTTTATCCTCGGCCCTGCAAATCGGCGAAATTTCCGGATACCGATGTAGGCCTAGCTGGAGCGTCGTCTGCTGTTTTGTTGTCATCCTTTTTTCCGCCAGCGGGAGCAGTAACAGTAACTTTTTCTTTCTCCAAGCGTACCACGATAATCGTTCTGTTCAAGGATATTTGATTCTAGTGTATTTGTTTGATATATGCGTTTTGCAATGGTTTCTGCCTGTTGCCAGTGTACTGTACAGCGTAACGGACAAAGTGGTTCGCTATTTATTTTTTTTCAAATCTGACGTGCGGTTAAAATTCAATTTGAAAAAACGCTCAAGAAATAATTTAAGACATTTGTGTGTTCCAGTTCCATACATTTACTCTATCCCATCCTTTTAGATTGCCCGATATGAAAGAATATTTCATGGCAGTGGTTAATGTAATATTTTGTTTCAATGATATCGTGATGTGGTGCCTCCCGTGTTTCTTCATGTTATGGGCAATGGATTTTATAGTAAATATGTGATAAAATGTTTCAGAAGCCCTGAATTGTAATATAAGTAGATTAGAACTCTATGTTGTTTTTGTGAAAAGTTTAACTTTTTGATGAGAGAATTTGCTGGTGCAATTTTTAAAACGAAAAAAAAGTTTTTAAATCCAGAAGTAAATATATTTCTTAAAATATATTGTCATGTTTATCTAAATCAAAATGCCTAAACATGGTGCTTGTTTTTACACGATTTTTAAATTGAGAGAATTAAAAAAAGCTGCATTGTTAAGCGAAAACAAAACATTCATAGAACTTGGGTAGACTCGTTTTTTTGAAGTAAATAGTTAAACTTATGTGAATTGTCTTTGCCATTTGTATGTATCATTGTCCTGTAATTTATATTAAAGCTGTGCAATGGGAAAATATCATAACATCTGTGAATGCATGTGTTTAGAGCTGTATTTTCTGTAGTTATTGAACACCATTATCTATGTTTTTAATCATTTTTTTCTACATCTGTTTGGGTACAAGTGCTTTAATATAGTGCATGTATTCGTATTTTTATTTATGGAATTTTTATGCATCATGTAATTTATACCTAACCTGCATTTAATAAGTCAGCTCTCTAAACTTTACAATATTTAAATCCTTTTTTTTAATATGCTGAAAATTGTTTTTGAATATTTTGCCTTCAGAAAGTATATTTAAATAATGACTTTATAAAAAAAAGTAAGTAGTAACTGCGAGCTAATGCATTAAATTTTTCAAAGTATTTTCACTCTTTGTATTAGAGGAGTTTTTTTAAGAGTATTTGAAGTGGGAAATAATAAATTATTATTTGAATTTACATTATTGAATATTTTAAGGATTTAGGGATACAATTTAAAAATTATTCAATATTTGTTAAAAGAAAAATTAGTGGTAGTGTGTGATGTTAAAAAAAGTATTATTTTTAAAAAATTACTCTTGTTTGTGCCAATATTTCAAGTGTAATATATATAAAATATATTTAATTTTATGCCTAAGTTACCTGATTACTAAAAGAAAAACATTCTCAATAAATGATTTGCCAAGTTTAATAATTATGCATAATATTCATTTCAGTACAGAATTTAAATCATAATGATTAAATTTGTCTGTGCTTTTAGAAGTGATGTAGTCATAAGTGTGGCATTAAGGAAATATGGTTGATAGTTCCATATTACAGAGGTGTTCATCTGTAAACAACTCATGAACATTCCCCCTTTTCCCTTATATGTAATATATAAGTAATTAGATGTGTATGTATATATGATATATATTTTGATGGATATCGTATTCAGCTCAAAGTTTTTGATAAAAGTCTAGTTTATTTTTTGAAATGTTAATTACAGTTATAAGAAGCTATATATGTTAAGAGATTTTATTAATTTTTTATTTGGCATGTGGGGGCATGCAATTGCATTAGTTAATTTATGAAATTGTAATTTGTTAAGCAGTTATTTGTTATTTAATAAGTTAGTAATTTACAAGAATTTTTTATGTAAAATTAACAGCAGTTTTATTTCTCATCTAACACTGTAATTAATTTTTTTTTAAATCTGTTTGTATATATGTATATGACTATTACTGATTGTTGTTATTTAAGTTGCATAATTCATTAAGCGAAAGCATGCCCCGTATGTCAACCGTCTTAATTGAACAAGCCACTTTTGAGAGAATTTAAACACTCCTGATTGAGAGAATATTCTAATGTTTGATATTTATAACTTAAATATATATATACACCATTCATTTACAAGCATGAAATCTATAAAAAAAGTATTTTGTCTTCAAATTTGTGAATTAAATATAGGTCAAGGCCGTGTTGCCTTTCGATCATCATTGTTGTTCATTGTTAACATTCGTGAAGTGCAAATATAAGAAAAACTATAAAAAGAAAAAAAAAAGTATGTCATGTTATGGATAAAAATCAGTGTTTTAACATTTTCCTGTGTGCATGTGTTTTGTTTGAAATAAAAAGTTAATTTCATTTTAAAGAAAATTGTCTTTTTTCTCCCCCTTTCAAAGAAAAATTTTATCAAGATGTCAAAAAAAGTTTTACATGAACTAAAATATTTGCTTTCTTTGTAGTTAACCAAATCTTATATATATTGTATTTACAGAATTAGAATTTTAATCATGATTTGTGCATTATTATTCTACCTTTGTAGTAATCTTAACTAATCGAAGAACTTTGTTATTGAATTTGAGGTAAGGTACATATTTTTTTTATTTTATTTTTTTCTGTTATTTTGAATTTTATTTAGAGCAAAGATGCACACGTTTCCAGAAAATATTTTAAAATTGTGGTTATCTGATAATTATTGAAAAGTGTCATTTATTTTTCAAATTATATATTTTGAGGCAGACAGAACTTTTTTAAGTTGTGATATATAGAACTCCAGATAAGTAGTATATTTTGAGATGCAAAGAATGTGTTAGACTTTTGAACTCCAATTATATAGGAAACAGATTTGACAATCAAATAATTTTTGATAATTCATTGCAGGTATTACTGTAATAAATTTACTAAATTCAATAACTCAATTCAAATAATTACTTACTGTAATAAATTTAGAAAAAAGGTTGAAGAAATAGAAAAAGTAGAATATATATTTGAGGACTTTTTATCGTGGAAGTTTCTTACAATCGTCATGCATGTTGATGTGAATATTTATTTTTAAACTGTATTTAATATGACATACATTCATTTTTATTACTTGGATATTTTAGGAACTTACTGAGATTTAAAATGCTGACTACTTTTCTTACTTATATATATTCAATAACTACATCTCAAGGTACACAAACTTTGATTATTATTTCGAGTATCAAAACAGATTCCTCAACTTGTTACGCATTTAACTTTTCTGAGAAAGTAATTTTTGCAAAAAATAATTAAATACAAATTTTATATTGAAGTTTTTATCAGCTAAAAGACATCTTCTGATGAAAAAGTATTTATGTTTTTTTTTTTTTTTTTTTTTTTTTTTTTTTATGATACAAAGCAGTAATTTCTAGTGGTTTGTTAATAATAAAACTAAAGTACTTAAATTCTGAAGTAATATAAAATTAGTTTGAAATATACTTGCTGTCTTGAAGGACATGATCGGTTATAGCAGAGCACATGATGGCTATCAGCCTAAGGGAGAAATGGCTTTGTGGAATATATTCTAAGGAAACTAAGTCATGATCATGTAATTGGAAATTACAAAAACACTTGGATATATTGATTATATTTTAAGTCTCATATAAACACTGTATGATTCCTGTTAAACTTATTTTCTTTTATCTGGAAATTGATAATATTAAATTAATTAATAATCAGTATGAAAAAATCCATAATACAAATTCAAAGTCAAGAGAATTTCAATAAATGTAGAATGTAACTAGTGATAAGAATATTACAGATTCAGAATATATGCATTAAGATATTAAAATACCATATAAATACAAGAATCAAAACGTCTCTAATTATGACTGAAATTTATTTCTAAGAAAAACACAAAGATAATAATGTTCAGATAATAATTCTGTTTTCTGAGCAATACTTTAAAAGTAGTGCAACTCTTTATATAATGTAAAACAGATTTAACAGCATTTAAACTATGTGCATGCTATGCTCTTTACATATTCTGTTTATACTGAATACCCTAGAAAGATATAAAAATGAAAATTTTTTCCTGTGAATGTAATGTAAACCTCTGTCACTCAATCATAAATACCTATTTAAAAAAAAAAAAAAAAAAAGAGATATATTTAGATAGATAGGGAATTTTTCTTGGCCCAGAAGACTTAATTAATTTCATTTTATCATTTTGCCTTGTTCACTATAAATGGCGTTTCACTTTTCAAATTGTTGCCACCAAATATTTGAGCCCTGCATTATATTTAAACAAATTAAATAATGAAGATTCTGCATGAATTTATGTTTCTCTCACTTTGAAAAAAACAATGGTACCTACAGACATTAAATTTTGAGAAAAGTAGACCAAAACTAGAAAATGGGCATCTGGAAGGCTAAGTTTGGAATTTGTTTTATTATTGATTTCATATTTTGCAAAAATTCTAAACAAATACAAAAATGTATTCTAAACAAATGCACACCTTATAGGAGAATTCTTGGCTTGCTCATGATCGTGTGGTCCAATAAGGCAGTCAAAGATCTAAAACTGAATAGTAACTAAAAAGAAAAAAAAATCTGAAAGCTTTCAGATTTTACATTACGTCCAAAAGGGCGTTTTTCTTAACGTTTTGTGTGTTACCTTTATTTATTAAATATTATGTTATTTGCGCTTAAACCATAAAATTTAGTTCAACAGCAATATCGCAAAATAATTTTGAAATGAGCATATCTATAGAATTTCCGATACACAGTCTTGCGCGATGGAGATAAAAAAAAATTTTTTTCGTACAGTTTTGCCATTCTTCGCTTGTAAATCGTTGTGTTTTTTAATCAAAAATTCGTTAAAAGTTTTACGAAATATGAAACAGATAATAAAACAAATTCCAAATTTGGTCTTCCAGATGCCCTTTCAATGATTTGGTCTTCCAGTTGGGTGGAAACGTACGTCATTCAAAATTGGATGGCTCTAAGTACCGCTGTTGGATCACAATGCAAGAAACATACATGCATGTATACGAATTCTTAATTATTTAATTTCTTTAAATATAATACAGGGCTCTAATATTTGGTGGTAACCATTTGAAAAGTGAACCGACATTTATAGTGAATCAACGCAAAATTCCAAAATGAAACTAATAGTCCTTCTGGGCAAATTGCCCCTTTGGAAGTAAAAAATTCTAAAACGAAATTAATAGGGCAAATTGCTCCTTTGGACTAATAAGTACAAAAATCCAGGCAGTTCAGAAGGGGAAATCATGTATAGACAGGTAAATGAAGGAATAAAATTTTCTAGTGCATGTGGGAATAGAATGGAATAGACTGCATATACGTTATAAAGCCAGTCAATTACGTCTTCGCCAACCAGCGGCCGAGCGGTAAAGTCGCTGAACACTGGTAGTTTGGTCCGAGGTTCGAATCCCCGCGAACGGGCTGGCTGCATGGGCGTTTTCGTGGTTTTTCCCATGTGTAACGTGTATACGAGCCAGTTTCCCTTAGAAAGTCTTCCACGAAGGCATCCCTCCCCTTAGGCAGATAGCCCTCGAGGCTTTGTCATAATCACACACACACAATTACGTCTTCCCCACCTGAACTTGTTTCATTGTATAGCCTTATGTGGATTCGTTAAGTTCTTCAGTACATTCGTACTGAATAATGTGTGCTGTTATAGCCAGCTGTGAGTTATGACGTGTCAACAGGATGCATGAGCAAATAGTCATAGGTGAAAGTTCTTTCTTGTATGTAACTCCTTAGGAGCTCCTAAAAGCCATTATATACCAAGGAGGTTAGAATAGACTTCTTTGTTATACACCTCAACAAATCTTGAAGTTTCGTCCGTAGCCGCCATGGTTATGGTTAACGGAAGCTGATAGCTAGTGGATGTAAGTTCGACTACTACTTTCGAGAAAGCCCTTCAAGAATTTTCAAATCTTGCATTGGAATGGCTTAGTGATCCAAAAGTCAGACTGCTTCAGTTAAAAAAATCACAAAATTTGCAGTAATGTCACATTTTAAATACACATACAGTAAAATATTAAATATGCATGAAATTTAACACGGATTAATAGTATTTATATCTCCCCATTCCATGTCAATTTAGTTGGCAACGTTGAGAGAAATAACAACGACAGGATATTTCATTCTAGACAGTTGTTCATTTACTAGGTACGCTGAGGAGTGTATATGCGTATTTGTAGTTTGTTTATTTTTTTTCATTCGTGTTATTTATTAACATCTTTTACAAATAAATATTGCTCCATTTTATTCAAATTTAAAAATTGAGTCGAAAACTTAAAATACTGAATAGAACAACTGTGTAGTTTTCCTATATTTTGATATACGTTATGAATCCAGCTAATTGTTGTCTTTATTAATACGTTGTTAAATTTGATATTGTAATTTACTCAATAAGTTTTAAAAGGGCTCGGTGAATCTTCGGATTATGGTAACTTGGCGAAATTTGGCGACCAACCCTGCTACAGCAACCTGCTAGGTTTTTTTTTTTTATTATTTTTTGGACGCCATTTTGTTTTCACAAACTAAAGGTGCTTTTTTTTTTTTTTTTTTTTTTTTTTTTTTCTCAACAATCTGCTAGCCGAATTACGCTTATGCTAGAACTTTTATGGAACAAAAGTGCTTAATCATGACGAAGATTAGGTGCGAAATTGGGAGAAAGTGCAGAATCGCCCACTGCTTCGCGCGTTTTTAAGAATTGCACATACGCGGTATCCATGTACACGTCGACCTATTTTCACTTAAAAAAATCATCCCAGAATTGCACAAAAATAGCATTGCGCACACGCTTGACTTTATCCATGTACACATCGACCTGTTTTCACTTAAAAAGGCAAAGAAAATTGACAAAAATACAATTCTTCTTACTCTTGTAAAATGCGCCAAACAAATAAGTGGTCGATTCTGCACTTTAACAGCGAAATTGTTTCTAAGTGCTTATTAGCTAAAATCACGATCGGAATTTTCCGGAAAATGTCACATGACATATCTCATGATCTCTCATTTCTCTGAGACAAAATAATCTGTGATTCGAACTGTGTACTTCTCAGATTATTGCTAAAGTCCTACCTAGTAACCTTTATCGCCTTACCAAAATGTCGCGAAACTACCTGTTACCATATTCCAAAGATTAGCCAAGGGCTCTTTCTGATGTCACTGTTACACTTACATCGGTAATTATTTCGGCTAACATAAATATTCATCGTCGCAGCTTATTTTCGAGATAGTTTAACATATCTAGAAGTTTAATAAATAAATAAAAGGAAGTCGTATTGGAAAATAAAAGCTACTATGCTAGAATCAGAAATTTGCTCCGAAAATTCATCGAGGTTTTAGACTGCAGTCTTAAGTTTTCCTTAT